CATGGAGAACCCACAGCTACATGGACAACTCACAGCCCCATGGAGAAGCCACAGCCCCCCCCCCCCACGGAGACCCCATAGAGCGCCTGCAGCCTCATGAAGAACCCATTGCACCATGGAAAACCTATGGAGGACGCACGGCCACACAGAGAACCCACATCCCCATGGAGAACCCATGGTCCCGTGGAGCATCCGAAGCCCCATGGAGAGCCCATGGCCCCATAGAACACCCACAGCCCTCCGGTGCACCCACACCCCATGGAGCACCCATAGTCCACAGCCCGCTCTTGGTCCCTGCATGGCGCTGGATTTTGGGTGCCGTCAGGGTGAGGGGTGCCCCCTGCTCCAGGTGGGGGTGGCACCCTGCTTTGGTCCTCATGTCTCCATCCCACACGGCGCCCCACAAGCTCCACGGGGACCCCAAGGTGGGGTGACGGTCACCCAAATGTCTCTCCTGTGGGTCCAGGGGGGGGGGGAGGGGGGGGGCAGGCAGTTGTTGGGGGGCGGCGGTGGTGTCCCCTGGGCGCAGAGCTCACGAGTTCAACCCTTTGCAGTCCCTGTTGTTCCTGAGATGAGCCGGGAGAGGAGAGGATATAGAAGTGGATATATAGGGGTGTGTGTGTACACGAGTGTCCTGGAACACTTTAAAAAATAATAATAATAATCGAGGGGAGGGGGGGAGGGGGGGGAAGGTGGTGGGGAAAAGAAAAAGGGAAAAGAAGGAGTTCTGCACTGTCTCTGCCCAACGCGGTTAATAGACGGCGCCCGGGTTGGGGGGCGGCCCCGGCGAGGTGTGGTGCATGGTGGTGGGGGGTTGGTGGGGGGCAGCGAGGCTCTGCGGGTGGTACCAGGGGCTGTGCTCCTCCAGGAAGGCGGGCGAGGGGCTGTAGGGCAGCGGCTGTGGCAGGGGGGTCCGTCCCGGCGCGCTGCCGTGCGAGGCACTGTCCCAGACGGCAGGCGATGGGGGGGAGTTGCAGGCCATGGAATCGCTGTTGTTGGGGCTGTGCTCCAATGGCACCTCGCCGTTCTTGTAGAGCTTCTTGAACTTGGAGCGGCGGTTCTGGAACCAGATCTTCACCTGGAGGGGGAGGGACAGGGTGAGAGGACGGTGGGTGGCACTGGGGGAGGGGGGAGGGTGAGATGTGGGGTCCAGGGAACGTTGGAAGGGAATGGTGGTGTGGGGTTGTGGGAACCCGGCACACAGCACCGGGAGGCACCTACGATATGGGTGTCATGGGGACAGAGCCATGGGAAGCCACCTGTGATGTGGATCCCAGATGTGCCACGTGCTGTAGGAAGCCACCCATGATACGGGAATAACTGGGGACCCCAGGCCCCGTGGGTGGCTTCCCATGATCTGGGTGCCATGGGGACCCCATGGGAAGCCACCTGATGTGAGTGCCACAGGCACCCTGCCGACACCACGAGTAGAGGAGGTCACTCGTGATGTTTGTGTCACGGGGACGCACCGATGGAAGCCACCTGTGATGCAGGTGCCACGGGGACCCCAGGCACAGCACGCACCACGGTGCTGATAATTGCATTTTGGACACCCCAAACGGGCCGTGCGCTGTAGGGGAAGCGATTTACAGAGTCGCTGTTGCAGGGACCCCAAAGACACCACGAACCGTGGGAAGCCAACACTGAGAGGGGAACCACAGACAGCCAGCATGGCGAGGCAGCTGTAAGGTGGCTACTTTGGAGGGACGCAACACGCTGCACACCGAGAGCCCACGTTAAGGGCGTCACAGGGGCGCTGTGGGGACAGCACTGAATGTCACCAACGCTGTGGGTGCCGTGGGGTCCCTGGACGTGCCGTGCCTCTGAGCCGTGGGTGTTGCATGAAGCCATCACACCAGGCATCACGGGACACCGGCCCGGCACGTCGGGAGCGTCCCAGCGTTGGGTGAGGCTGTGAGCCTTTGGGGACGGGGTGCTGGGAGTGGCGGTGTCACCCAAACAGGATGTCCCTCTGGGTGACGCGCTCCGTCAGCCCTTTGCCGAGTTGTCCCCGATTGCTTCATCGCCCAAGGGAGGAGGAGGAAGGTTGAGTTTGGGGAGCGTCCGCCAAGGGCGGCACAAGGGCGCCGGCGCCGGCCTGCAGGCAGGGAGGGCACGGGGATGGGATGGGGTGGGTTGTGGGGTGGCTGTCACGCCAGCGAGGTCGGGTTTGTCCCCATGCCCTGAAAGCCCCGAAAGCGAAGCTTTTGGTCCCAAAGCTGGGAGGAAGATCTGGAAGCGTGGGGAAAGAGAAACCCGTTCTTTGTGGAGCTCGACCTGACGTGGCAGCGCACCGACAAGTTCGCAGGCGTTCCAAATCCCTATTTCTGGGAATGGGAAGCCCACTCAGGGGGAGTGGGGCGGGGGGCGATGGAGCTGGGATGGGGGAGTCCTGAGAGCCCACCCCCAGCAATCTGTCCATGCGGGTGCTGACAGGGAGGGGGTAAAGCCCCACGTCCCCAGGGGAACACTCTGTCCCCTCCCTCAGCGCTGTGGATCAGCTCTGCACAGGGAAATCCCTGCACCCTACAAGTGTGGATCACCCACCCCAGGGCTCCCCACATCCAGGGGTCCCCTGAACGCTCCCAGCTCCCACCCAAAGGACACCCCTCACCGAGCCGCGCCGACCCCGCACGGATTCGGGGCTCACAAGGTGGGATCCGGCCCTGACCCCAACCCCGCTGCCCCCCAGGTGGGATCGGGGAGGGGGCTCAGCCCTACCTGGGTCTGGGTGAGCCCCAGCTGGGCCGCCAGCTCGGCGCGCTCAGGCAGGGCCAGGTACTGGGCTTTCTGGAAGCGGCGCTGCAGGGCGGCCAGTTGGTAACTGGAGTAGATGGTGCGGGGTTTGCGGATCTTCTTGGGTTTCCCGTTGACCATCCGCACCTCGGGCTCCGGCTCCTCCTTCACCGACACTGCATGCAGAGCAGCAGGGTGAGGATGGGGCTGGCAAAGGGTCCCTGTGCAGCTCCCACCCCACAGCAAGCCGGGTCACCCCACTGCATGGCAGCAAAGCAGGGCAGACCCAGCCCTAAACCCTTATTGGGGAGCAATACATCGGGATCCCTGTGGAAACACGTTGGGGTTTGCTAATGAAAATACATTGGGATCCCTATGATGATACATTGAGATTCCTGTAGCAATATATTGGGATTCCCTATGGAAATGCATTGGGAGCTGTATAAAAATATTTGGGGGTCACTACAAAAACACATTGGGATCCATATGAGAATGTATTGGGATCTCAATGGAAATACATTGGGATCCCTATGGAAATACGTCGGGATTGCTACAAAAACGTGTTGGGATCACTATCAAAAAACATCGGGATCACCACCAAAAAACATCGGGATCACCACCAAAAAACATCGGGATCACCACCACAACACACTGGCAGCCCTACAACAACAGGTTGGGATCTCTACGACGGTCCCTACAGCGATACATTGGGATTCCCTACAAAAACAGACTGGGATCCCTACAACAAGAAGTTGGGAAGCCTACAGCAGTACATCGGGATCCCCACGACAGCCAGCTGCCGTCCCTACAACGTTCCCTATGACGATTCATCCGGATCCCACCAGCCCCCAACCGCCATCCCCAACTTCTGCCGCCCATCTGGGGGGGGGTCACAGCTTCTCCCATCCGATCTCCCAACGGAGAACCAGCAGAGCTCCCAGCCCACGACCCCATACCTGCATCCTGCGCCGGGAGCTGCTGGTCCCTGAAGTGGCCGTACTGCCGGTAGGACGGGCTGTAGGAATAGTCAGATTTAGGGGAATAGGTTCCGCCGGCGCCGATGGAGTTGAGGTTGAATTGGGGATAGGGGTAATGGGCGACGGGCTGCCCGTAGGATTGGCCGGGGTAGAAGTCGTGCTGGCCGCTGTAGTAGCCCAGGTCGGTGACGGAGGACTCGGGAAGCGTCGGGGAGTCCTTGGAGGAGGCATGGCAGCTCAGCGAGCCCGACAGGTCGGTGAGGATGCTGGAGAGTTTCTTGTCGAAGGAGCCGCTCATCGCTGCAGCTCGGGGGGCTGCAGCCCGCCCGGGACCCCCCTTTACCCACAACGTACCCCGATCTGCTCCTGCCGAGAGGCGACCCGAGAGTGTGTGCCCAGAGCTGCGGGCGGCCCTGCTCCAAAGCCTTTAATTAGGGAGCGGGGCAGGGTGGGTGCGCATTCCGATTGGCTCCAGAAATATTGCCTGGGAGGCAAAACAGGCTCCTGCCTCCTGGTTTGGGGTTTGGCTTCTCCTTTTTTTTTTTTTTTTTTTTTCCTTCTCGCAAGAAACAACAAAGAGTGGGTGAAGGAGAGACGGCACGGATAGGAGCTTGGGAAGGGGGGGGGGGGGGGGCCACAGCGAGGCCATGTGGCTGCTGGGGATCTTTGCTCTGGGATCCCGGGGTCGCTCTGTGGGTGTTTGATGGGGATAACAGTGGGAGAAGGGTTGGGGTCAGGGACGGGGCGCCCTCTCCCCACAGATCCCGGTGTCCCCCTCCATCCCCAGAGCACAGGGTGAACCCCCCCCCCCCTCCGTGCCCCACAGCATTCCACCCCCTCCCCCCAGCACACTGCAGCCGTCTCCCAGTCTTGAACCTCCGCACTGCCCTGAGAGCCCCGCCGGCTCAGGCCCCAGCACTGCAGTGAGGAGTTGGAGGGGGACTTGGGGAGGGATGGGGGGGGGGGGGGGGGGGGGG